ACCTGCTTCTCCCTCTGCCTATGTCTTTGCCTCTCTCTCTCTCTCTCTCTCTCTCTCTGTCTCATGAATAAATAAATAAAATCTTTAAAAAAAATGCTCCACATGACTCAGCATCAGGGAAATACAAAACAAAACCACAATGAAATACCACCTCAAACCAGTCAGAATGGCTAAAATAAACAAGTCAGGAAATGACAGACGTTCAGGAGGATGCAGAGAGAAGGCAACCCTCTCACACTGTTGGTGGGAATGCAAAGTGGTGCAGCCACTCTGGAAAACAGTGTGGAGGGTCCTCAAAAAGTTGAAAATAGAGCTACCCTATGACCCAGAAATTTCACTCCTGGGTATTTATCCCAAATATACAAATGTAGTGATCTGAAGGGGCACCTGCACCCCAAAGTTCATGTGGTTACTATGAGGTTTACATATAAAAAGTTATAACAAATCTATTTTAAGTAGATAATAACTTATTTGGTCACAATCTAAAGCTCTACATTTTTACTCACCCTTTGCACATTAATGTCATATTTTACACCTTTTTAAATCTTGTGCATCCCTTAAATTGCAGTTATATTTTTTACTACTTTAATCTTTTAACTTTGACACTAGTTTTATAATTAACACACTACCTTTACTATGTATTTATCTTCCCAGCAAGATTTATTCTTTCATGTTTTCTTGTTACTAATTAGCACTTTTTTTTCTTTTTCAGCATAAAAGGTCACTATTGCATTTCTTCTAAGGCTAGTTTAGTGATGATAAACTCCTTTAGCTTTTGCTTATCTGAAAAATTATTTCTCTTTAAATTCTGTATGAAAACTTTGTTGCACAGAGTATTCTTGTATGGAAGCTTTTTTTTTTTTTCTTTTAGCACTTTGAATATCTTGTGCCACTCTCTTCTGGCCTGTAATGTTTCTCCTGAAAAATCTACTGATAGCTTTATAGTGTTTCCCTTGTATGCAACAAAAGTTGTTTTTCTCTTGCTGCTTTAAAAAATGATTTTATTTGAGAGATAGCACACGTGTGCGAGAGTGAGCATGAGTGGGGGTAGGGACAGAGGGAGAGGGAGAGACAGGCTCCCTGCTGAGCAGGAAGCCTGATATGGGGCTCAATCCCAGGACCCTGAGATCATGACCTGAACAGAAGGCAGGTGCTTAACCAACTGAGCCACTCAGGTGCCACTTTTGCTTTTAGGAAATTTCCTTGTGTTTAGGTTTTGACATTTAAATTATAATTTAAATAATTTGGGTTCATCTTATTTGGAACTCTCTGGGCTTCCTGGATCTGGATGTCTGTTTTCTTCTCCAAGTTAGAGAAGTTTTCAGTCATTTTTTTTTCAGTCATTATTTCTTAAAAGATTTTTCTGCTCCTTTCACTTTTCTCCTTTTGGGCTCCTATAATGTGACTATCAGTCCACTTGATGTTATTCTATAAATGCCTTAAGATATCTTTACTTTTTTCTGCACTCTTTTTTCTTTTTACTGCTCTGTCTTCAGGTTCACAGTTCTTTTCTTCTTCCTTGTCTAGTCTGCTGTTGAACCCTATATACTTTTCAGTTCAGTTACTGTATACTTTAGCTCTGTGACTTCTATTTGGCATCTTTTTTGTATCTCTTCGTTGAAGTTCTTACTGTGTTCATCCATTCTTCTCCTAAGTTCAATAAGCATCTTTATGACCATTACTTTGAACTCTTTATTAGGTAAATTACTTACCTCCATTTCATTGAGGTTTTCTCTTATTCTCTTATTTGGAACATATTCCTATGTTTTGACTATTTCCTTGACTCTTTTGTGTTCATTTTTATGCATTAGATAAAACAACCGCCTCTCTTAATCTTGAAAGAGTGGCCTTAGGTAAAAGATGAGCCTTATCATTTAACCTTGCCCTAGTTCTGAGTTGTCCCTTCAAAACTTTGTGATTGTCCAAGCAATTTTATTTTTAATAACTTCTAGTAGATGAGGAAGTGCCAAGTCCTGTCATTGTCCCAAAGAGAGGATTTTAGTCAGCACCTAGATTCATGCTGATTGAAAGCTAGACACTCAAATAGTAGCTTTTAAAGTATACAGATATATACAGTCCTATAGGACTACAAGTGGCCACCAGAGCAGGCAGTCTGGAGGTGTTCTGAGGGCAGCAATTACAAAGACCAGGCTCTAGACAAATACATAAGCTCCTTTCTAGGAGATACTGGCAAGCTGTATGAGGCAGAGGGAAAGCTTAGAGATGGCCTCCACCAGTTTATGTTCCCTGAGAACACCTTCATAGGTTCCTGGATTTGTGTCAAACCTGAATCCTGACAGTCATGCCAAAGCTCCAGGTAGACAAAAATGGTTTTAAAATGCATTCCATTAAGATTTATGAACTAATCCCTAAAGTATCTGTGCAGTCAATATTTTCTTTCTTTTTTTAAATATCATTTGCAAGTAAGCTGCAATGCCACTGGTTTTACCATCTACTCTCTCGCGTTCTGTTTACTTCCCTGTTGAGAATCAAACTCGGGCTCACAATTTGCTTTACTATAATGACATAACTCCATTATTTTGGTTACCAATTATCAATTACACATGACACATTTCTGTCACCTCCATAAAAATGATAAAGGAATAGCAGAGATCAAAAAAGATTTTTAGGGTGTGTGGCATGAGACTTTTGATCTCAAGGTTGTGAATTTGAGCCCCATGTTGGGTATAAAGATTACTTAGAAAAAAGGAGATTTTAAAAATGACTAATAAAATGGCCAATTATAGAGCAAAACTATTCAAGAAACAAAGATAAAATACATAAATAAATGATACTAAGAAATTAGTGCAAATGACAATTTAAGTGTGAAGTACAGACTTAAGAAAGGGTAGTAATGAACTTAAAAACAAATGACACTATAAAAGAAAATATAGTTTATATAGATTACTTTTGCCTGATTCTGAAAAATGTAAATACAATGACATATATAAATACAGAAGTGTAAACTGATACAATTACTTTGTAAAATCTTTTGGCACCATCCACTAAAGCTGAACACATGCATATAACCTATGACCAACCAATTCTACTCCTAACAGCAATGCAGATATATGTTAGCCAGAATTAGGCATAAAAATGTTCATAGTAGACTACCACTTCTAGTAGTCTACTAATCATAGTAGACTAAAAATAGAAACAACCTAATTGCTTACCTAGAGTAAAATGATGCATATATTATGGTATATTGATTCAAAGGAAGAGTATATAGCACTGAAACAAAACTGCAACTATATGAAACAAGAGAGGATCAATCAACTCTACCTGGAGGAAAGAAGAGAGTTCAGAAATTGACATCTCTATTTGGAAAAAAAAGATAATACCAGAAAAATAATAGAAAAAAACAGTCAGTTGTTTAATAGGTAGTGGTTCGTTATGTGGAGAAATTAATGTGAATGCATACCTCACATGATATACAAATGGGCTCCAATGGATATATGACCTATATTTGAAAGGTCAGGATTTAAGGCATATAAAGGAAAAAATAGGAGAAATGTCTTCACAACTCTGAGTAAGAAAAGATTTCTAAGACTCCAAAAAAGTAGAAAATATGAGGTTAAAAAAAGTATGTATGTGTGTGGGGGGGTGGTCAACAAAAGTCAGCTTTTTCTTAAACAATAAAATATCCACAGACAACATTAATGGTTAGATGAGTAGACAAGAGACAAAAAAAAAAAAAAATGAAACACTTAAAACCAACATTCAAATAATATAGAGGGTGGAATGCATATAGCACTTGGTAAATCAACAAAAAGGACACAAAATTAAATGGAAAATGGGTCAAAGGTATGACCAGGCAATTCAGAAGAGAAACCTGCATAAATATGGGAAGAGATGCTCAAAATCACTAGTTATCAGAGAGCTGAAGATAACAACAGTGATAAGCCATTACACATAATAATAAAATTGGTAAAAAAAAAAAAAAGTAATAATACCAAACTTTGGTGAAGATGTGCAGTAGGTGGGAATAGAAATTGTGATTGCCATCCAAAAACAATCATGCAGAATTTAGTTAAATCAAGTGTCTGCTCTCCCTACATCCCAGCAACGATAGCTGAAAAATTATTGCACAGTCCCATAAAGGGACATGTAGAAGGGTATTCACCACAGTGTTGTTTGAGATGATAACCATGTGCCCATCATTGGGAAGCTATACAGATAAAATGAAATAAATACTAGTAATCAGGCAGCATTAAGAAAAAATGATCTAGGGATGCCTGGGTAGCACAGTGGTTGAGCATCTGCCTTTGGCTCAGGGTGTAATCCCGGGGTCTCCAGATTGAGTCTCACATCGGGCTCCCTGCAGGGAGCCTGCTTCTCCCTCTGGCTATATCTCTGCCTCTTTGTGTGTCTCTCATGAATGAATAAAAATTTAAAAATCTGAAAAAAAAAAAAAAGAAATGAGCTAGACAAAGTATTAAATAAAAAAAGAGAAGTAATATAGAGAATGAAGTCTACAGCTTTGGTGACCATTCATCCTGGTTTGCCAAGGCAGCTGCAATTTGTATCTGTTGTCCCAGCATAAATATTAGTAGGACTTTCATTTTCAATAGTTTACACAATGTATTGTATGGCCATTCTATCTGTGAATATTAAATCACAAAAACTCAAAACCACACTACTTATGTTTGGTACATACATATTTAAGGATGTTTATTGGTGAGGGGATTTATATTAGGATGATAAAGGAAATAAAAATAAATGAATGATACTGTGCTATAACTGAGTATAGGGGCACCTGGGTGGCTCAGTGGTTGAGCATCTGCCTTTGCCTCAGGTCATGATCCTGGGATCCTGGAATGGAGTCTCATACAGGGCTCCCTGCAGGGAGAACTCTGCCTATGTCTCTGCCTCTCTGTGTCTCTCATGAATAAATTAAACAACAACAACAACAACAACAAAAAAGCAACTGAGTATAAAATACTGTTCTCTAAGGTAGATAATAATATTTAACTCTAGTTTGAAAAAAGTTAAACACTTACAGTACTTCTGGTACTAAAAATGTGGTAGTTTGGGCTGTTAGTGGAATACCTATGGAGAAAAAGGTCAAATATAAGTATTAAAATAATTTCTCCTCCAAATAAGAGGGATTCTATAGTAAACCGAGAAGTGGACATAAGTCCATAGGGAAGTTTTGTGTAGGACAGAGGTGATACTCAAGAAATGGAGCTGGAAAATGGATCTGGATTCATAAGGAGAAAGAAATAATCGCAGTCCTACCATAGATCATTTATGAAAACCAACTCCATTGGGATAAGAAATATCAAAAACATTAATACTCTTAGTAGAAAATTTAGGTAAATGTCTCTCAGATGCTCAGGAAAGAAAGAAATCATTGAAATAAGACATCTACCCTGAATTCTCCACCCCTCCAAAAAAGCTAACAATAAAAAAAATCATTACATCAAATTTAAGAAATTTTGTCCTTTAAGAGAACACCTTATTAAGAAATAAAATTCAAGGAGCCAGTGACTACTATGGGAAACAACAACATGTTTGTCTTCATTAAACTCTCTCTGAAAATTTAGGGAAGGGAAAGAAATTTAGCATCTCCTTCATTTATGAACATAGAGCAGGGGTTAGCAAGCTGGGGTCAAATTCCTCCTGTTTTTGTAAAGATTTTCATTGACACAGGGCCACACCTATTGGCTTACTAGTGTTGAGTTGTGCATTACATCACCCGAAAGGCCTTACTACCTGGCACTTACAGAAAGTTTGGTAACCTCTGGTGTACACCATAAAGTCTATAAAGTCTTTGAATTCACAGGCCATGCTTGATAATATCCCCTATCCCTATACTGACCCATTTGCCAGGCACATGTTGGGAGCTAAATATATCTTTGCATTCAAGCCTCGCTACCACCCCACGAGACAGGTTTTATTTTCTTCACTTTATAGAGGAAAAAACAGAGGTTGACACAGTTCTGCCAGAATGCTACCTTTTTGCTTTCTCTCAAGGCTACTCTATCTCTGTTCCATCTCCCCCGTGTGTCTGTCCAAGGAGGGGCTGTGGATCCCTTCCCTCGGCAATCTCTGGAATGGTTGATTTATTGTCGGGGTTCTTACATCCTAATGTTAGAGGGTAATACTTACAGCCAAACCTCCATCGAAGAGAATAGTCACAGAAGGCTAATCATGTTTTTTTTAACCCATGTTAGAAATATTTCTAAACTATTTCGATCCATTTTCCAACCCAGCAGTTGCTACCCAACCGAAGAAAACTCACACTTGGCACTGAGGATTTCTCAGAACTTTTGAAGTTTTCACTCCCTAAATCCCATCACAGGAAACAACTCCCATTCCTTTTGCAGGAATTACACCCCCTTACATTTATTTGTTTAGCTTATAAAGCACTTTGTCACAAATCAAGTGCATCTGCCTCCCAGGTAACTTCCGCCACCTCGTTACCCCAGGGAAGTGCCCTCGCCCCGACCTCCCTCCCCGGGAGCGACTTGTGGGTTCCCCCTCCCTCCTCTGCTCAAGCTGGAGGAAACGAAAGGCTCCGCTGCCCGCAGGGGCAGCGACGCGAAGGGACCGAGACCCTGGAAGAGCGAAGCCCTCAAGCTGCGCCCTCGTCCTCCGCGACTCTCGGAAGGGGGCGGCGGGGAGGGGCGGGGCGGGGCGGGGCTGCGTCCCCACGGGCGACCTCCGCCGGAGCCCCCGGGCGCCACTGCCATCTCTACCTCCACAGGGCAGAGCCGCAGCAGCTCAGCCACGACAGCAACACCGCCAATCCCCGGGCTGACATGGCGCACAGCCGGCCTCCGCCCAACCGCCCGAGCCGCGCCAGCCCCGGCCTAGCGCGCTCCCGGGGGCGCCAGTGGACCGGGGAGGAGGCGGTGGCTGCTGCTGCGGCGGCGGCGCTGGGGGCCGCGGGGCGGGGTCCCGGGGCCCCGCGTGTGCGCATGCGCGCCAGGGCAGGCCGCTACCTGCGCCACCCGCCGTCTCGCGGTTGGTGGGAGTCGAAAATGTAAACCAGACTTGAGGAAAGGCAGGCAGAAACCATGCCTGTTTGGAGTGAAAGGGCAAAAACCACTTCGGAAAGTCCCAGTTGACTAAACGAAGGTGAAGCTTTTAAATGACTATCTTTTAGCCCAAATTTTCGTTGTGACTATAGAAATACTGCGACAACAAATACATATCTGGCAGTGCTTTCCAGGCACTCCACAGATGGTTTTCAAGTTCAACAGACATGACAGTAACGTGTTGTTACTGAGCACTTGCTTTACCCCCAGCACTACCTTGCGCACTGGAGTGCAAAGAAGTATCACAGCTTTCTGGTTTACAGAGGGACTGTAATCTTGTAAAGCCAAGATAAACACCAAAATTGTCACATGGTATTACCATTTATCTGCTTGTTGGTTGTTAGACCGAATCATCTGAATCCTTGAGTGCTGCAACAGTATCTTTACTCCTCTTATGTCATCAGGGCCCAGTGCCACCAGTTTGGAGTAGGTCCTCAGTGTTTACTGACAACCAGTCATCGGGTAATAGTTTAATACTGCACTCTGTTCCTGGAGCCATTAGAGAACGTGACTGTGCGTTTGTGATGCGTTATGTGGTAGACACTGCATTTAATGCGATTCTGTTCCCACTTTTTTATGAAGCTATTTTCTATCAGATTCGACGTCAGTTATCAGTTACTGTGAGCTGCAGTTGGAAGAGCATTAGTTCAGCAGTAGGAACACTTTACTCCGGAATCTCGCTGCAGCTCAAACACGAAGGGGAGTGGAACACAGAGGGTCTGGGCTCCGGACTCTCCCTACCGATTCAGTCAGCCAGCACCAGAGCAAGTTAATTTTTAAGTCCTGTAAAACAAGGGTAAGATACTATTACTTACTTATATGGTTGTGGGATTTAAAAGATCTAAGAGTATCGCAGTATTTGGCACAAACTATGCATCAGTATCGCCCTCCTCGTCTCGGAGCCTGTTACTAATGTGCAAAATGGCAAGGGTTTCAACTTTACTCGGGTTCTAGATGTTCGGTTCCAACATCCTCTATTGCTAGACTTTGGAGTTTGCCCTTTCGGATCCCGGTCCCATCTCTGTTCTTACTGCCCTCTAGTTCCCCCCCATTCTCAATCTGTACGTTTCCATTAAATCCTACTTGCATTTGGGAATTCCATCCTTCGTATTTCGTACACATGATCTCGTCCCTTAATAAAGACAAGTCGCGTAAGAATAATCTGAAAACGTCTTCGGAGACCGAGACCTGCAGACAGCAAACAGCATGGCCCCAAAAGGCGTCGCCTCCGCCCGGAGCGTTGCATGCCGGGAGTTGTAGTCCGACGCTCGAGCACGCACCTCCGCGCCTCTCGGGTTTGAAAAGCGGGAGCAGGGCGGGTAGGCGGGGCGTGGAGGCGAAGCGCCCTCGAGGCCCCGCCCCCGCCGCCTTCCGCTCGCGGGGTGCGCCCCGAGGTGGCGCGCCGGGCTGCGGAAGGGGCGTGGCCTCGGCCCGGGTGGCGGCCGTTGCCGCCACCGGGGCCTCTTCCTGCGGGCGGTGCTGCGGCGGCCGGCCTGCGCGGGGCAGTCATGGGCGCCCGGTGAGCGGGCCGTGGCGGAGAGCGGGGCGGGGCCTGGCTGGAGGGTGGCGGCCCGGCGGGGGCGGGGGCGGAGGCGGAGGCGGGGGCGGGGGCGGGGCCGGCCTCTGGCTCCTTCTTCCTCCGCATGTGGCTGGCGGCCGCAGAGCAGTTGAGTTCGCGCACTCCCCGCCGCCCGCGTCTCTCTCGGGCTCTCCTCGCGTCACTGGAGCCATGGCGCTCGCCGAGACCAACGCGGCGGCATCGTCCCTGCCCAACGGCGACTGCGGCCGCCCCGGGGCGCGGCCCGGGGGAAACCGGGTGACGGTGGTGCTCGGCGCGCAGTGGGGCGACGAAGGCAAAGGGAAGGTGGTGGATCTGCTGGCGCAGGACGCCGACATCGTGTGCCGCTGCCAGGTGAGGCGACCGGGCTCTGACGGGAAGCCGGGCCCCAGAGCGCGGGCGCGGAGCCCGGACCCCGGATCCCGGATCCGTCGTCCAGAAGGTGTCACCTTGAGCTTGCCTCCTCGGGGCTGCGGCGACGTGGAGCCATGGCGGGAGGTCCGAGACCCCCGACCCGCTGTCTCGGGGTGTGGGGTTGCGGCGGCCCCGGAGGAAGAGCAGGGCTGACCGGGAGCCTTGCAGAGGTGCGCGAAGCCCCGGCAGCTGCGGTTTTCCGTCTGGGGGCCAGTGCCCAGCCCCGAGCCCGGGGCCGCGGTGGCGGGCAGGATAGGGTCCGGGTTGGAGGAGCTGCCGCCCGAGGCCTGCTCCCGACTCCGGGCGGAGACCCCGCACGGCGCAGAGCCCCCCCCCCCCGCCCCCATCTCCCACCCAGCGAGAGCGAGTGGCAGTGGATTGTTCCAAAGCGTCCGGAAACCCCCACGACCCCCCCTCCCACCTGCAGGCCCCCGGCGCCCAGACCGCTGGCTCCTCGCTGGCTCCTCGAGTCCACTTGTGGACGTGAGAGCCCCCCGCCGGGCCGTGGACCCTTCCTGGCCGCGGTCTGCCACTCCGTACCCCGCGTGTTCATATTACGGGTAGATTGTTCCTGCCCGTTGGTCCCAGAGGAAAGAACCCCGGCTCTTTCGCGAGCGAGGCAAGTAAACACACGGTTGTCAAATCTGGAATTTAGAACTATATTTACATTGTTAGGCTCACCGGGAAAGTGAACTTTCGGGAAATGGATTGGTAATGTACTTCCTACCGGGAGACACGTGGTTTTCAGTGGAAGCTTGCTTCCTATTTGTCGCTCTCTCTGAAGCAGCCTCTAGGCTACGCCTTTGTAAGGGCTCTTAGATAACTATTACCAATTTCAGAATGCGAAATAACCATTGAGCAATAACCATTTTGAAAACAAATTGTAACGCATCTGAAGTTAACTGCTGTTTATCTTGCAAGAGGGTTTCTTCACGACGGGGCACAATATGATGGTGCCATGCTCCGTGCGTTCTAACAAGTTAGTAGGCCCGCTTGACAGAAAGCTTTCTACCTGAAACCGAGGATCATTTTAAGCACGCAGAAACAAGGTAATCACAAGTACAGAAAAAGCTAAATGCAGGGATTCTGATTTATCTTGTTTTGTTTTTGAAAGCAGAAACTCCCCCTGCCCATTCCTTAGCTAAGATAGTTGTTGCCTCTTGGTACTACCACCTCTCCCTACCTTCAGATCTTTATTCCTCCACCCCTCTGCAGACACACTGATCTTACTTAATACCTTTCTCCTAAGAGTGTTTCCATGGAAGTCCGGCCCCCACTGCCTTAGGAGCTCCTCCAGAAGCTAGCTTTCACCTTACTTTTGTCTTAAAACCAGGTCTGGCCATGCTGTAGGGAAAGAAGTATGGGAATACCTAACTCTCCCTGGGTAGAAAGAGAGGCTGGGCCTGTTTGTCCCCTTCCATGTTGTTCCTGACATCTTCCTTTCCTGGAAATAAATAGCAATTAGGCCGAGTTGCACCATGGGATGTAAGAAGTTTTGGAGAAAGTAAGGATCAGTAGCATTTATTCTAAAAGATCTTTGATTCTAATAATTCTTTGAAAAATAGTAGAATTAGTGTGTAGATTAGAGAAGGTGTTACTATGTTTTCTTGAACGGCCTCTTGAAGAAGGTCAGGGACCAATCTCATCTGATGCCCTTGGAAAGCCTAGAGAGAAGTCATTGAGGAGGAGCCAAGCTTGGCTTTAAACTGTGTTCCCTGATGATACAGAAGGAACATTGGAGCGACCCTGTTAGGTAGACTTTCCTCTCCTGTAAACTTTGACTTAACTGCAAACTATATATAGTTCTAAAAACTTCATATTCTAGTGCCTTTTAAGAACTTACCGTTAGGATTTTTACTAGTTTTATTAGTGAAAGTAGATACAGAATGAATAAAGCATGCATCTTGTGGTTCACCTTCGTAACTTAGTTGGTCAGCCCTAGCTAGTAACCTGACTTATACTTAATGAAGTTATCCTGGCTTATAAAACTAAAGAATATGAAATGTTAAAATTCTTAGTGTGTATAAAGCACTGGGGAAAGTCAACATTAGAAAAGACATTTTAAGCTTAAATTGTCTTGTTTGATGATTTAGGTTCTCTGTGTTACTGAAAATACGTACTTTGTTAGAGCTTAATATGTATTTTTGGTCATATTCATGCCAAAACCTCAAATTTTATACAGATTGATCCTTTAGGAGTGGCATACACATAATGTATCCATAGTTTAACAATGGAATCATAAGGAATTTTTTCCAAAAGAGATTTTTTAGAAGAAAAACTGACATTGCATTTAATTGTATATTTTAACATGTCAAATGCCTTTTGGAAAGAATAGATGCAAAGCTATTGGCATTTTCATCATCACTGCACTTAAAACTGTATTTCAGATTCAGGATTTACATGGAGTTATTTATTTGGTAAATTCTCTAGATCCATAGATAAGTGTGTAGGACTTGGATCGAACGACAGCCACTAGAGATATCTTAATTTTATGAGTCTGAGGCACTGCCTACTGTGCTAAGAAAGGCACTGAGATATCTTAATTTTAAATTGATGTCTTTTAAGAAAAAGAAGTAGGCATAGGACCAATCCCAGGCCTACTTCATTTATCCAGCAATCACATAATGAGGATCCACAGGTGATACTCTTCGGGGGACCACTTGGCCCCAGAATTCAGAAGCTGAAAAAAGGCAGGGATTGTATCCACAAGGAGCTTACAGTGTGCTGAACAACTCCATAAGCAAGTATGGCCAGGGTGGGAGTAGAGAAGGTACTACTAGTACAGGTTTTTCAGAGAGTTAAAGTATGGGCATAGCATAAAGGTAGCTTTGTTATGAAGTCTCTTACTGTCTTCCTCACCCCCCACAAATCCTCCAAAGTAAACTGTTAAGCTTTATTGTCTTTATTTTGTTGGTGGAAACTACAGAGATTTTAACTGTTGGACTTTCTACTTCTTAAGCAAGGGCTTACTTACTGTCTTTGGAAAGCAAACATGAGTCTTGGAAGTTGCTTGTGGTTGGGAATAAACAGTATTTCCTTTCTTTGTGTCCCCCCCCCCCCAGGGTTTTAAAGTTAATATAAAAAGAAAATATTAACTAAAATTAATTATAAAGGGAAAGTCTATCTTGTCACTAGCTACATATGTATATATATACACATATATATAAAAGGTTGCTGTAAAATAAGTACAATGAAAAAAAATGTTAATTTGTAGCTAGATGCATCCACAAAGGCTCTGAAACCAGCTATTGCTAAGTAAAAAAAAAAAAAAAAAAAAAAAAAAAAGTATAAAAGACCTAACAGTGGCAAACTGAGACTTTCTCTTTGGAATTATCAGAAAAATTGAGAGATAATTTAAAAGGGATAAATGAAATGTCTTGACTTTACACAGCTAAAATGACCTCCCAGACCACTTCCCATCATTTGGAAGATGGTAGAGAATAAACATTTAAGGTACACACCATTCTTCCAGGTTTATAACAGTTGCTGTTTCTGTGCCCCCATCAGTTCTTTTTTTATATAGTTCATAGTATTTCCTAATACTATGTGGTGTACTGAGTTAAATCTTCCTTTCTTGGATTTCTGTATTTTCTCTACTATGTTTTCTCAAAAAGAGGACTTAATTCTTTTTTTTGTTGTTGTTTTCTATAGCACCAAGTACTCTGTAAGGCAGAGAGGAATACTCAGCAGATATTTATTAGGTAACTGGATCACCTCTAGAAATTTCTTTGAAACCAGTAGTTTAATAACCTTTTCTTGTAAATTATTAAAATCTCCCTGGATAAATTAACTGGCTGATGGCATGAATCTAAGGTGGAATCCCCAGCATTTGTTGGATTAACATTTGTTACTTAGTATTTTAACTAGTACTTATATTGTATCATTATGTTCAAAGGCTTTAATAACTTATATTAAAGTCTTATCTCTTTTATCTGAAAATAGATAACTGATATTTGTATATTTTTGTGTATTTCCTCAGCATATTTTGGTTAAATGCTATGTAATTCTAGTAATTGCTTTTGTCTGCCAAGGGCAGTATATCTGAAAGTTTAGTTAATGAGGATGTCCCAAGTTGTTCACTATGTAAGCCTGTTTTATTGATATACATAATGTGTAGAATCTTGTCATTTGGATATACTAGTACAGTAGTATGTAACAGCATATGTAATATATAACTTATTAAAAATGTCTACTCTTGCGGTATAAATTTTTAAATTATGAGATCGTCTTAGTGGTGTCTGATCAATATTATTTTGGTTCTTTAATTTTGGTGGGAATGTGTGGGTTAGTTGGGTAATTTCAAGTTATCTCTAGGACAAACTGTTGCCCAGAACAAATCTAGAGTGAAATGGTAAATTGGATGCAATTTTAGCTATATTATCTTTTGGGGACTATGTCAGATTTTTGACACTAAAGATCACTGTAGATGAGCCATATACCAATAAGGAAGATTGGTAAATATTGGAATACCTCTACTAGTGGAAAAGGGATTTTGAGGTATTTAGTATTGCCTGGCAAACACAATTGAAAAGAGTAAATAGTTCCCAGGGCTACTCCGGCTCCAACATGGGTTGGTTCTTTGCAGTGAACTAACTTTTAATTATATTTAATTCAATGCAATAGAATTCTTGTAAAAATGGGATTTTTGACCGTATCAACCTTTTTAAAGGAAGGGTTTTATTTATGAGAATTCTTTTTTTTTTACTTGAAATCTGTTTAATCTTAGTGTGTTTTTAAGAGGATGTCTTTATAAATAAAGAATAGGTGGTTTTTAATCAAGCATTTACAAAGAGCTGCATAACACATCATTGGTTTATGCAGTTTTTGGTTGTAGGTCTGATCTTCCCATCTGTGACCCTCATTTAGTAAGTGTGTATATTAAATTTAGGTATCTATAGAGTCTAAAAGCTTCTTGATTAGGACCTAAGATTCTCCAAAGC